ATTTCTGATAGGCCAATGATTCTGGTTTTGTCTGTATTTAGTGTGCGACTTCCGTATAATCAATGAGAGCTTTCATGCGCTTTAACCAGATATCATCAAATAACATCGGGAATTGAGATGAAAACTCAAAGCAGCGACTCTGCTTTGTTATGTCTAATGATACTGTATCATCATGTTCTCTCATTTTATCTATCTATTTGTTTGTTTATTTATTTTTCTGTAAGATGCCAAGCAATTTATCATCCAAATGCAAACAATCTTTATTCTATGTCTATTGTTTTTCGTGTTCCATGGTTGTATAACTGATGCTGGTTGTAAAATTGTACACAGTGAGAGAGAATTTGCGAGCTGCCAAAAAGGAATATGGTAAAACAGAAGATGATCTGAAGTCGCTTCAGAGTGTTGGGCAGATCATCGGAGAAGTGCTTCGACCTCTAGATAATGAACGCTGTAATACATTTTTTTCTTGTATTTCCTTTGTCTTCAATTTGAGATCTATTGATTTTAAGGAGTTTAGCCTCTGTGCGCCCATCACCAAAATAAATGATGCTGAAGTGGGGCCCTGAATACGAATTTTCATTTGTTCAACTAGAGAGTCTGCTTCTGAATGTAACATTGTGGTTTTGTGCATCAAAGATATCAGTGAGCCAGTGACAAGTGGTGCTATTCATTGGTTGAATCATGCATACATTTTCAGTGTGTACTGCTTATTCGTTTTTGTTTCTATTCTCTTAGCTATTGACCATGCATTAGCATATTCACTATTTGTTCATTTTCTTATTGCATTCTGTTTGGAATCAAACTATTGACCCGGCTTACTTCCTTTATTCTAACAAGTGGAAGAAATTTGTGAGACTAATTACAAGCATGTAATATCTTTCAGTGATTGTGAAAGCCAGTAGCGGTCCAAGGTATGTGGTTGGCTGTCGCAGTAAAGTGGACAAGGAAAAACTGACCTCAGGCACTAGAGTAGTTCTCGATATGACGACTCTTACAATCATGAGGGCACTCCCACGTGAAGTTAGTATATATTTCTGTGCTAGTATTGGGAAATTTATAGAGAACTATTACATTTTCCCCTCCCCGAATTCCTTATCTTGAGATTGTCTGACAGGTTGATCCTGTTGTATATAATATGCTTCATGAAGATCCTGGCAATATAAGCTACTCTGCTGTCGGTGGACTGTCAGATCAGATCAGAGAGCTGAGAGAATCAATAGAACTACCTTTAATGAACCCTGAGCTTTTTCTCCGTGTTGGAATTAAGCCTCCAAAGGTACCTTGTTTCATATAATTCAACCATACTCATGTCTCTGGTGCCTCCAAAGGTACCTTGTTTCATATAATTCAACCATATTCATGTCTCTGGTGTGTTCTTCATGGTGTTGGCATGGATGAAATTGCTGCTGCTTTTCAAATCTCTTCTGATGCTACCAAGTTTATTTGTCTCAGGGTGTTCTTCTCTATGGGCCTCCTGGGACTGGCAAGACCTTGTTAGCCAGGGCAATTGCTAGCAACATTGACGCCAATTTCTTAAAGGTGAGTACTAGAGGTTTTGGTTATTTCCTCCTTTCTTAAAGTACTTTGTAAGATGGGTGTTTATTCATAGTTGGTGAAAATGCAGGTAGTGTCAAGTGCCATTATTGATAAGTACATAGGTGAGAGTGCGAGATTAATCCGGGAAATGTTCAACTATGCTCGTGATCACCAAGTAAGGACTTCAAAGATATCCTCTCTGGGTATACTAAATCCAGTGAACCATTTTGGTACTGCTTTAAAATGTACTGACAAGTTTTGTCTTTGTTTGAAGCCTTGCATCATTTTCATGGATGAGATTGATGCAATTGGTGGACGTCGATTTAGTGAGGGAACAAGTGCAGACCGTGAAATTCAGAGAACGCTCATGGAGTTGCTTAATCAGTTGGATGGATTTGATCAGCTTGGAAAGGTCGTTGATCTTAGTTGTATATCCCTAAGTAGCTATATTGGGAATTTCTGTAGATTAAAGATCTGCAGTGTGCATAGTACATAATTTGTACTCCATACTTCCTGTTCCTGGTTCTCGGCTTCCAAAATAATAAAAGATATCCTGAAAACTTGATTGCCTATCATATATAGACATACTAAAAAGAGAATGTTGCTTAAATCAGGAGAGCGCATATGGGTTGTTTGCTTGAGTAGGCTTTTACTATGGTGTTCCTCTGGTTTTCCACTTTATTTTTTTAAAATAAAGATTTCATTAAAGCTAAGTAGGTGTGATTTTATTCTGCTTGCAGGTAAAAATGATTATGGCAACAAACAGGCCAGACGTTTTGGACCCAGCTCTTCTTCGCCCTGGTCGGTTAGATAGAAAGATAGAAATACCCTTGCCTAATGAACAATCAAGAATGGAGATCCTCAAGATTCATGCTGCTGGAATTGCCAAACATGGCGACATTGATTATGAAGCGGTTGTTAAGCTTGCTGAGGTGTGTACTAGTGATGCTATGAAAATTAGTTTGCTTGTGTTAGGCGGAGTTATGACAATGTGTTTTTCCTCAGGGTTTTAATGGGGCTGATCTTCGTAATGTGTGCACTGAAGCTGGTATGTGTGCCATACGTGCAGAGCGTGATTATGTCATCCATGAGGATTTCATGAAGGTATGTCTGATTCTTCTTTCCCGTGTTTTCAATTAGTAAGATGGTAATTGCCTAGTCTCAATGAGCTAAAAAATTTGTGGAATCAATTGACCTCTTAGAGTTCGTCACTATAAGAAATGTACTGTTGGTGGTTGTCCTAAGGAAAATATGCCTAATAGAACTTCTATACATGGATCAGAGATGTTAAGAAAAACTATTTTTGATTTCTGTTAACTGCCTTAGAGAGGATGCTCTAAATTTATCGCATGAAGGGATGCACTAAGAAAAATCTTCACGCGTCAATGTTCACTTCTTTGTACCTTGTTTAGGAATAAATCCTTTTCTGTTTTTCTTTTATTGAATTCATAGTTATTTCTGTTTTTTCAATTTTCTTTTCCTTTCCTCTTCCATTGCCTGAGATGAAGTTTCAATATTTCGCTACAGGCTGTAAGGAAACTGAATGAAGCAAAGAAACTTGAATCAAGTGCGCACTACAGTGCTGATTTTGGCAAGGAGTAAGGGATTTCTGCGTCTCTGTGATATTATAACTCCAAGGAGCTATTAGACTGGCCGCGATCTTTGGCTGTGTTCTCGTCCTACAATTGTAGTTGAGTTTACTTGTATTGCCCATCTTAAGAATTATGTAAAGCATGTTTCAAGAGAGCATCCCACACCCAGTCTATTTCTTTATTGAGCGCAGAATCTTTTTTCAGATTTTTTTTCCTTTGTGGTATTTAATGGACGTTAAGATGAAGCTTGGTCGGTATATATGCTATACCGTGCTAGCTTGTGTTACTGAATTCTGATTCATATTTTAACTACCAAATGCAACTTAACAAATGAGTTTGAGTTGCAGTCAGAATTAGAAATTTTAGTTGCTGAAGGTGATTTTGAGTGAAAATCACGATTTGAATTAAATATTTGTTGCCTTATTACAAGTTTGCAGTACAATCGAGGTAAATGTGTAACGGCAGTCTAGGTTCATTTGATTGCTTTTGTCGTTAGGGTCATTTGTTAGAAGTTGATGTGAACGAAAGAAGCAGAAAGACAATTATTTGGTAAAGATGATAGAAGAAAGCAGTCTCTCTTTGTGTTTTTCACAATTTCCCAAATACAGAATGATAAGAAGTACTTAAAATCACTCACTTTTAGGTGTGGAAAGTAAAAAAATAAGCCAAAAGTTAAAAGTTGGATATTACAACTTACGGCTTTTAACTAGGGTGGGCATAAAACCCGAAAAACTAAATTCTGAACCGGACCGTATTAATTTGGTATTTCGGTATTGGTTTATTCGGTATAATTCGGTACCAATTTTTCGATTATTCGGTATTTCGGTACGGTTCTCGGTATTGAGGTTTCGATATTTCGATATACCTAAATACCGAACAGTTAGAATGGATTGTTAAACATTAGTCTTAATTTTTGTAATAAAAGACAGTAGCTTCTCCTTATGGAATGAGATGTTCGTCCATGATTTCTAGAATATCATGGCAAATCTTGGACAACTCCTCTTTTACCTTTCGCCTATATCCCTTAATCAACTTCACATTGTTCTCGTTTCCTTTTGACTCTTCTTTCTGCTCAATGGAAGATATAATACGCCAAGAAACCTTCAAGCTCCAATAACATTCTTGTAACCAACAGAAAGCATTGAGTTTTGCAACTTTCTTCAGATTCTCAACTATTTTTGAGAAGCAATATGAATCTGAAGTTACCAAACAGAACAATGGTGCAAAGATTTTTATATCTCATTCCCAGTACATAGTTTTGTCTTGCTTCCGTAGTTTTATCATAGAAAATGATGTCTGCATGTGAATCAGAATAACCTCCCATGGACATGTGCTATTCTAATTTTGTATGCTTCGTATGTGAGGTGTTTATTTACCGAATCTAGTATGCAAATTGCCACTCCTTCACCGAATCACTAGTGGCCAGTGCCACTGCTTGTCATGTCAGATAGGGACGGTGCGATACCGAAACCGTACCGAAATCGTACCGAACCGAACAAGAAAATACGGAGCCGTACCGAACTACTTTGGTACGGTATTTGGTATGCATAAATGATATACCGAATAACGAAGTACCAAACCGTAATTGTAAATGCCGTGCCGAAGTACCGAACCGTAATTATAAATGCCGTGCCGAAGTACCGAACCGTAATTTATAAATACCGTACCGAAGTACCGAACGCCCACTCCTACTTTTAACTTATAAGCTACGTTTTAAAAGCCAATCCAAACACCCTCACATTGTCTCCAAGTTTTTTTCCCTTGAAGAGCGCTATTTTGTAATTGGATTTGGATGTAACTGGACGAATTACACAGTTTGACCTGCTTTGTCTGCTTAAGTAATTACTTGATGCAATTAAGAGGGAGAAATACTAATGCTTTCAAGGTGTCAAAGTATTAGGCGCTCTGACCAACTGAGAAATACAAAAAGAACCCAAAGAAGGCTATAAGGGCTGATAACTCATTCCTACTGTAAGGCAGGCGTCGAACACCAGACGCCTGCTTGCGGTACAGGGACTAGAGATTAGCAGATACAAATATTCAGGACAATATTTTTATGGCCTTGACATGAAAGAAATCCAAAAGAAAGTACACTGAAAGAACTATTTTTCAAATTTGTATTTTCTCCTTTCCTATATAACAAATCAACCATCCAGCCTATATTGTTCCCATTTTTTACAATGTATACTTCAGAAGGTAACTTAAACTTGCCTGTGAATGCATTTCCACCATCAAGATCATGGCTGCTATCACGACTCTCTACTATCCAAAAAGGTAGCTGAGAGAACTTACCCATGGTATCTGCAAATATTAAAGCAATGTAAAACATTTAACAGACAGACGGAGAGCGAGGATGTAAACGGGATGGGAACTTCACAGTTCACAATATGACTGGGTAAAATTTCTAAAAGAAGCTTACCTTTTATGTTCACAAAGAAGCCTACGCCTTATTAGATCTTCTCCAAAGAAACCCCCTTTTCCGAGTTGAAAGACTCTCAGAGTAGGATCTTGATCCCTTTGAACCAAAGGAGAAATAACGCCGTAGGAAAGGCTTCCTTGAAGAGCTCTTCATACTGGAACTGGAGCTCATCCTGGGACACCTTCCGTCATGTGGGCTACTTTTCTGATGCTCAAACCAACCAAGATTGCCACTAATATCACTGTCGACAATCCGATTCCGGAATCTCTTTCTAGCTTTCAAATCCATCTTAGCTTTTGCCTTTTCATACATCTTCAAGGTCTGCTTCTCCCCAAAAGTACAGACAGGGCAAGCTGGGTCATACCTGTTGATTTCAGACGTCATATTCTCCAAGCACTCAGCATGGAAAACATGGCCGCAAACTAGAACAGCAACAACAAGTTCATTCAACAGCTTCGCACACACGGCACATGTCTGGAGATTGAAAGAAGGTGAACCAAAACTTCTACTAGTAACCCTTTCACGATGGAAACCAAAGGATTCACTATCAAATGACCACCTGTCTCTACGAGGATTTGACAGGTCAGCAAAGGCAGGAACTGACCAACCATCTGATGACCCACCATGAGAGCCCCTAGTTGAGTCATTACCCCAACCAGGGAGCACAAAGGAAGATGATTCTTCAGAAATTGAAAATGTAGGTGACTTTAGCCCCGGTACACGGCTATCAGGAACTTCTCGTCCCAGAAGGTTTGCTGAAGAATGGTGAGGCAAACTAGGAGTAAAGCTAGCAGGAAGTAGCTGACTACGCGATGATAAAGGAGATGTAGATAAAGATGAAACAGAGGGAGCAGATGGAGATAGCTTTCCAGGAGAGGGGAATGAAAGTGCTGATGAACCGTCTGATTCTTTAACCTAATTAGCAAAAATAAAAGAAAGAAAGCATGTCAAGAACTTATAAACATGCCATGAAATTGTCTTCAGAAAGAAGTTAAACCGCTCTGTTGGTACCTCAGTGGAAGTCCTCTCAGCTAAGGGATCTGCAAAGGCAAGAATAATACTGTCATCTTACGATCAAACATATGATTTCCACCCACAAAGCTCTAGTTATATTTTCATAGCATATAGAACCTAAGAGCAAGAAATTGAAAAAACTCATGGTTTGTTGCTCTTGCATCTAAAAGATAGTCACAAGAAGAATAATGGTGATGGTTGCCAAAGCAACTTACACATCAAAATCATACAAAAATATTTTTCCTCATAACAATGGTATCATCAAGGCGCACAACAGAAAATAGAATATATAAAAGAACCACAATCTTTGGTAAATATGCAATAGGCCTCTAAATTAATATTATATAATGAGTCACTTAAAGATTCAACAACATGATCTTGCCGCCAAAATATCATCACATCAAGGGGTCGGGAGAATATTAAAAAATAAGAGTGTCAATCACAAAAATAATAGAACAATGCCTTTGGAAGAATGAAACCACTTCAAGAAAAAACATTAAAAAACAAGTCATCATGTCCATCCCGAGTACTGCCACCTATAAAAACAAAAACACTAGAGAACACGTTCCAATAGAAAAGCTGAAGGGCAGCAAGTTCTTTTTCTCAGTATGATTCTTAGCATCTTTGAGGCGGTTTCTGGACTTCATAATTAATTTCTCAAAGAGCTTCTTGTTCTCTCAAGACATTGTTCCAACATTTGACAACTTATTGCAACATTGCCAGCCTTCCCACTAAGTATCTGGGATTACCCTTGGGAGAAAAATTCAGGTCAATTTCTATTTGGGACGGCATTCAAGAAGCCAGAAAAAGGACTTCCAAATTGGAAACATCAACATTTTTCCTTGGCCAGCAGACTTAATTGTATCAATAGTGTACTTGATGCCCTATCTACGTACAGTATGTCCTGTTTCCTGCCCCCACTTTGATCACTGACAAATTGAACAAGCTGAGAAGACAAATTGTCTTTGGCAAGGGAACAAACAAGGCTAGTCTGGTAAAATGGAGCAAAGTCATCACAGATAAGAGATGGGGTGGTCCGGGAGTAATCGCTTGAAAAAACACAATGAAATTCTTCGTATGAAATGGTTGTGTTAGCAAAGATGACAGTGCTCTATGGAGGGAAGTTGTGACAGAAAGATTCTTTACTAGATCCCTTGATCACAAAACTTCAAAACTCTGCATAGCACATGTTACTGGAAATTTATTAGATCCTTCTTGGGAACAGTCTTCTCTAACAAGATCACTTTTGGGGATGACAAAATGATTAGACTTTGCGAAGGCAACTGGCTGGGAATTTCTCCTCTCAAGATTAATTTCCAGATCTGTACACTATTTCCTCTCAGTAATATGCTACAGTTGATGATGTTAAACATGATCTAGGCTGGAACCCATTTTAGAAGACATTTTTATGATTGAGAGATAGAGAATACATGTCTTTTGTTGTGACTTTTGAACACGTCTACAGCTGTGAACAAGTCTGACTCCGTAGAGTGGTTAAGACATTCCAAAGGCTTGTTTTCAGTCAAATCTGGCTGTAAATGGCTAACAACTCCTAACACAAGTTTTAGAGGAACATGGCTCCATACAAGGTGAATTGTTTTACTTGGCTTGTAGCCAATGATGCTCGCCTCACACAACGAAACACCAAAGAGGAGGTATCCACTATGTGAGGAATAATCGGAGGCTTCCAATCTTCTATTTTCACACTGTAAAGTTACCTCTCAAATCACGAGTTTTTTAGCAAACATCCTGGGAATTAGTTGGTCAATATGTAACTCGACAGTACAGTTTCTAAAATGTTGGAGAAGAAAAGGTCTCAACATTGACCCCTATACACCAAAAAAAGTTCCTAATCAAAGAAACATAGTCCAAATCAGCTTCGAGGTATGCAGCAAAACTTTAATCTCGCTTCTTGATGTAAAGAGGAAAGGTTGGCATTTCCTGAAGATTAAGGAAAATAACTCTACTTTATTTTGAACAGGAAAATACCTCTAGTTAGCAAGAAAACAAAAAAAAACTCACAATGTTTTACTTCAGTTCTGACACAAATACAGGTGCAAGTCATATATATGAAGAATACGAGAAACTTGGAGATTGAGAATTCATTTGAGAACAAATATTTGAAAAACAACTTTTAGGAGTAGTAGAAGACGTCCCTAGAAAACCTATTATTTCTGTTTCCTATAACACAAAGTATGGACCAACAGCCATTACCCTCTATTTAAGCAAGTGAAAACTTATTTTTTCTTTATCCTTAGATTAAGCAAATGACAAGCAACACTTCATTTTAATGACAAATGTGCAACCAAATCTTTCATATGTTCCCATGATATGAAAAATTGGTTATAGCAAAACAAGAACCATAAGAAACTAATTTTTCAGCTTAAACATCTTGCACCTCCCCAGTTGGACTAGATGCAAATAGTTGAGTCTACCCTCTCCTCTTTATATCACCATCAAGGGATAATATCCTCTTATCAAGACCGTAGCAATTAATCACCATTGACAGCAGCTCAATCTTCTCTATGACAAAAATGCTACAGTATAAACATCTCAGATGCTGATAAGCCACTTGTATAGCATCTGACACCCAACCAAAAGCTCATGATAAACAAGAAACTCATTGTACAATCTCAATAATTCACATCCGAGAAGCACACACATGCAACATCTTTTATTTCAGTTATCTATACCTCCTATTTTTACTTTAAAATCAACTCTAAACCTAGACTTCCCCTTTCATCCAACCTTTCTCTACATTTCAACGTAAATGAACATTTATCACGTGAGAAAAGGACTCATGACGTTCCATAAACTTGTGACTCCACAATCCCCGCACAAAATCACGAAGTGTCCATTATTATGTCATCCAATTAAGGATCTCATAATACAAAGTGGTAGATCCATATCTCGCACTCCGGAGATAGAAAAACATGTAATTCACAAAGTTAAAAGAAAAAGAAAAAAAAGGCAATTCAGGCTCTTCATTTGCTATCAGAACTTCACATCCTTTTTCTCTTCAATTTGCATAATCACCTAGTTATCAGGTATAATCGTTTCCCTTTATACAAAAGCAAAAGCGAGAGAAGTGCAAGTATTTACCCAATAAAGGAAGTGACAAGTTTCGATTAGTTCCATCAGAAACTGGTGACTTTTGCCATGCAAGTGATCTGAAACTATCCAATGGACTACCCTCTTCAGATGCATGTACTGTTCCTACAGTTGTCCCAGATTTAAATTCTAATCTGTCAATGCCACCAATTCCATCAGAAGACCAATTCACTGATGTCTCCTCCCCAGCCACTCGTCCCCGATTATCCCACCGAAAGCTCCATGTAGGCGAGTGGCGGACATTCCTCTGCAAATTTTCACTGCATGATCCATTTATAACAGCTCTATCTCTGGAAGCAACACAACAAGCGGAACCCATGCTTGCTTACACACAACACAGATAGGCAGCTATCAGTCCGACCAATGACAATGCCAACATGTTCACTCCATGATCCAAATTTGAAAGTTCAATTTTCTGAAACAAAAAAGGGAATGAGGTCAAAACAATCAAAATCAAAGCAGATATGCATTTTGACTACCACAGCAAAATCTTTTTCGTACACAAGAATCCAAGCAAAAGTTATCCTTCACACAGTAGGATATTGAATGCATAAAGCATGCAAATGGTTTGAGACGTAATGCTTTATATAAATGACCAGGTTGCTCGCACTTTATTACCCATTCAGGTTTTGCACCCAGAACGTAAGACAGCAATCTAGCCGCCACCAAATCATCCATAAAACTCCCCCGCCCAATAGAATAAGATTTATGCAGAAAGATGCTAATGCCGAGAATCCGGGAAGAGTTCTCTTAGAAGAGGAAAAAAAAGATTCATTCATACACCTACATAACATTCCACCTAGAAAATAAATTTCCATTTTTGAAAGCTCAATTTCAGCTCAAAATCAAACTGCGATTTCCGATTTCATAAAATTCTATAGGTCTAAAATACTTCAACGACCAGGCATTTAAAGAGAATAATCCAATCATACTGAAACAAAGTTCTAGTGAAGAATTACAGTACAATCAACACAAACATTACTACTACTAGAACAACTACGCCTCAGTCCCACACAAGTTGCTAGGTCGACTATATGAATCTCTCCATTTAAGCACAACTCACGTCATCATCATACCAAACAAAACAGTCATTTTTCGGGTCAATAATTACACAAAAGCACATATATTGAAAAAAGCTTCATGTTGAAGAATTACAGTATACTAGTATAGCCAACACAAACATTTCTGCTCAATAAATCAGCAAAGCTGATAAACATGTCACGATTCGTCCTAATAAATACACATTAAAGCACCGCGTGCAATAAACCCAACGCACAACATCCATTAAATCAAATCCCCGAACTAAGCCTAAGATTCATTTCCCCAGGTTAAAAATTTTTTAAAATGAAATAATACCTTTTAACTAGCTAATTCAATTTCATCTTACACCACGGAGGTCATAGAGATCCGAAAGTTAAGCCAAAAAAGCATTAATTTACTGCCGAAAATTAAAAAATATATTTAAAAATCACAAAAAGCTACCAATTATCTCCCCAGCAATCTTAGAATTAGCATATTTCTCTTTTACTTAATCAATAGCCAGTCACATATGTCCAGTCATAAACAAATACAAATACAAATTCTATTGCTCTAAATAAGTATATACAAAAAAAAAAATCGAAAATCTATGAATATATTACAATATTATCCTCACAATTATCAAGTCTCCTACCGTGAAATTCGCCGTCCGGCGACCGTCAAGCACAGAAAGTGAGGGGAGTAGTGAAGAGGGTGGGAGGGGGTGGGTATATATATATATAGAGAGAGAAGGTAAAGGTTCTGATTCTTCCTCTTCTAAGTTGCGGGAAGAGAGAGAAAGGGAAGGGGGGGGGGGGGTTAAGTCGTTTTAGACGGCAATTTGCAGATCCGTTACACTGTTGGAGTAATTCTACGGCGAAGAATCGTTTGTTTCTAACGGCGTTAAGTGAGACTTGCTTTGTTTGTTATGTTGGTTAAAATTACCTCCTTTTCATCATTGCATTTGCCAAACCAGATGGAAAGAAAAAGTACTTCCTTTTCTTTCCTTTTTTTGTGAAATTATCGATATTTTAAGTTACTTCTTCGTTTAAAAAAAAGAATATCACGATTTTTTTTTTAGTTAATTCGTCCAAAAAGGAAAAACTTTCTATGAAAAAGAAATGATTTTACTTAAACTTATCATTTACCTTGATAACTTGTTTGGATGGTTATTAATGATAAATTTGTATAGTCATGTAAATATTATAATATATTTTTAGATAACAAATTTTTAAAATCATTATAGTTACAATTACGGCATATCATTTGAGATCACAAATTCTATAAGTCTTTTACTTCTTTAATCTCGAGTTCAATCAAACTACATCGTATAAATTAAAACTGAAAGTGCAATTTGCAGGAAGCAGAAGTCTTGGACTACTGCGATTTGAAGTTGTACACCATGAGTTAATATTAAACTATTGGAAAAGCTATTTATATATGTAACTTAAAAGAGTTTTAAATTTTTATTTTTTTTATATAGTTATGATCCACTAGAATAAGAGTTTTGAAGTAACGATAAAATTGTCTCCGTGTGATTTATATGTCATGAGTTTGAGCCATGAAAGTAGCTACTAATACTTGTATTAGGGTATGTTGTCTTCACTACACCCGTTAAGATATAATTTTTCCTCGAACCCTGCATAAATACGAAATACTTTGTGTACCGCGACCTATCTAAAAGTTATGGGCCACTAGGCGCCTTTTAGTCAAACGGAACAGAAAGAAACGAAGGACTATGAAGAAAATAGGAAGTAAGTGGGACGGTATTGATAGTTAGTTGAGTTTGAAAAGTCAGTCGACATTCGATGAAGGCTCAAATGGGAACACATCGCACACAAAATCAAAGTGAAGAAAAAGAGAAACGAAATGGGAAGAAAAGTGCTGGTCAAAGCAATGCCACATGCTATATTTGGAAAAGTTGGGCATATGTCATTAGTCATCTTGCCACAGCCAACACATCTTTAAAATATCTTCTTCTTTTTTCCCGCTAAAACTATCATATATCAATTAAAGTTTGAAAAAATTAACCTAAATAGCCATTTATCTAACTCTTTAAATTAAAAATAACCGACAAATATTTAACATATGTATAATATATGTATAACCTATTTGACTCAAAAGATATTGGAACCTTTTTGTACAAATCAATCAAAGAAAATGAAGAGGTAAATCTTAGTCAAGGCTAATAACCTCCAGATCTATAAGCGAATCAGAAAATAATACATAAAATGAAATAGGGGTGATCAGTCTCCTTGATATTTTTCATTTCCTCATTCATTAATCGATGAAGATTACCGTTTTTCGTCTTCCATGGGAAGGCTCCTTTTTCTAAGAAGATTACAGAGGAAAGATAAGAGAGAGAAAAAGCCCCCCCCCCCCCCCTCCATTGAGAGACTCCTCCTCTATATATAGTTATGCAATCCTCAATACGGGTCAATACAAATTCGCACAACGTCCGCTTTCGTCGTTCTCTGAGTGTCGTTCTTTGTCACGGCGGACATTATGAGTACGGGGTTTTGGAGCAAGCCATGTCGTCTTTCACTATCTCGTCGCTTGGACGGGATCTTGGTCAGGCCGACTGCAGCGATCGGATTTTGACCAATACAGTTAGTCCCTCCGTCTATCGGGGTCGCCTCTTGTCGGGCCTGGTAGGCGGATTATGATTGTTACATATCTAAGATAAATCTGATCACCTACCCCTTGGGTATGGTTTTTAGATTCTAGCAATGTGACGACATCTTTTCGATATCCTTGAACCATTTCGGTCGTTTCGGAACCTGAACATCGTTTGTCTTGAAGCGTTGTTTATGGTTACCTGCCATTATGACACACGTTCCTAGGGGGTTGAACCGTTTTATGCCCTATCAACTTCAATTGGCGACTCTTGATTTCGTGCTCGGAAAATTTATGTCTCTTATAAATAGGACTGCACCATTCGATTTGACATATTCTTTACCTTTGCTTAAGAGAACTTTGCGAATCCTCTTTCCTCCCGATACTTCGGATTTTTGATTTCCTTTAGTTGGCCAGGAATTTTCGTCTTTCCTTTTCTTTATCCTCTTGCTTTATCAAATTGATTCAAATGTTTGGCTGTCACGACCCGGATTTCCCACCCTCGGGGGTCGTGATGGCGCCTACTCATGGTAGCTAGGCAAGCCAAGAACCTTTGCAAAAATTAACCTATCTTATTTTATACATGATTAAACAATTAAATTATCAATGAATAAGCAGTTAAAAAGACAACAAAAAGTAAAATTTAGCAGGAGTCTGAACTAAACATAGAAACAGCGTCTAGAAAGCCAATACAAGTCTCTACCCAGCATCTGGTGTCACAACAATACACGGACTGTCTAGGATTACTACAAATAAGAGTTTGAAATAAAGGACATAGTCTGTCTCGAATACAAATGTCAACAGAACATGAAAACTGAAAGAAGAGACGCCGGGCCTGCGGACGCCAGCAAGGCTACCTCGGAGTCTCGTGGACTGAAGGTCGACTCCCTAATTACTGCTGCGCACCGTAAGCTGCTCCGACACCTGGATCTGTGCAGAAGAGCACAGAGTGTAGCATCAGCACAATCGACCCCATGTGCTGGTAAGTGCCTAGCCTAACCCCGGCGAAGTAGTGACGAGGCTAGACCGGACTACCACATAAATCTGTGCAGTTATATATACATACACAGCGGAATCAAAATACAGAGACAAGTAATTAATATGGGAGGGGGAGCATGCTATGGGGGAAATAACAATTTCAAGTAAAAGTCGTCCAGTAACGAAGGAAACAACACAACTCAGACATTAATAAAGAAACAGAAAGCAACAAGTGCACGGCATCACCCTTCGTGCTTTTACTCTCATCCTCACCAAGCAATGATATAATAAAGTGCGCACGGCATCACCCTTCGTACTTTTACTCTCTTTCCTCACATATAATCGATAGAATCGGCACGGAATGGTACATCGTGCGGCACGGCATCACCCTTCGTGCTTTACTCTCTTTCCTCACCATAAGCAAACAATGCACGGCATCACCCTTCGTGCTTTACACTCTTTCCTCACAACAAACAAACAATGCACGGCATCACCCTTCGTGCTTTAACACTCTTCCTCACCCAAACAACAATCACAAACAAGGGGCAAGGGGATAAACAAAATAATAAAAGAAATCCTGGCAAGGGAACACAATTGAACAGTTAAATCCCGGCAAGGGTACAACATCAATAATCTCAACATCCCGGCATGGGAAAAACAATCAATAAACAACAATATCCCGGCAAGGGAACAATTTAAATACTCTTTCTCTTCCTTTAGTCACTATAAGTATACGAAAGAACCATTTTCTCATTCACGGATAACTAAGCTTTGACAAGGGAGAGGGGGACCAAACCATTAGGAGGAAGAAGCAGATGGAAGACAGGGTCACTTGTGAAAGAACTAGCCGAAGGGGACCTTTATTTCATATCTCACTTTACCACTTGAGCCAATGCTCCAAAGGGGTTCAACCATTTCATATACGTTCACAATTAAAATATAACTTGAGCCAATGCTCCTCGTTGTTCATAGGTCACAATTTCCTTTCACAAGCTTTTCACAACAAATAGGAATCATCACCAAGGCAAGAAAAAATACAACGAAACCAAGATATTCACAATTTAAAGACTCACGGTCATGCTAGACACCAACGTATAGATACTCGTCACTATGCCTATACGTCGTACTCAACAAGAAGCAATTAGCAAATAAGACTCAACTCCTAGTCCCTCAAGCTAGGGTTAGACCAAACACTTACCTCAATGCCTTGAATACAATTCAAGCCTCAATTATAGCTTTACCCCGCGATTCCACCTCCAATTCGCTCGTATCTAATCACAAATTACTTAATTACATTAATACATGCTAAATGAATCAAGCTCAATGCATAAAAATGAGTTTTTCAAGTTTTACCCAAAAAGGTCAAAAATGCCCCCGGGCCCACATGGTCAAAACCCGAGGTTCGAACCAAAACCCGATTACCCATTCCCTCACGAACTCAAATATGTAATTTGTTTTGAAATCGGACCTCAAATTGAGGTCATAATCCCCAATTCTTGAAAAACCTAGGTTCTACCCAAAACACCCAATTTCCCCATGAAAATCTTTGATTTGAAGTTGAAATCATGTTAGAAGATGTTGAGGAGCGAAGAAAATGAGTTAGAAATCACTTACCAATCATTTTGGAGAAGAAAGTTAGTTTGGAAAATCGCCTCTTATGTTTTGGGGTTTTGAAAAGTGTAATATAACTGAAATTCCCGTTTATTTATACCCCTCTGAAACTTCCTGTGCGGACCGCGCATAAAGGACCGCGGCCGCACAGGCCTCCCTGAAGACCTGTAAATCATAGCCCCGTGCGGACCGCACAAGGTCGACTGCGGCCGCGCAGCATCCACCGCGGACCGCTCAAAGGCGACCGCAACCGCGCTGGCCCCTCCGCGGCCGCATGCAATTTCTCGCGGACCGCGCAAGAGGGTTCAGAGGCCTGCAATATTTCCTGAACCTGCAACATCTGATCTTTTAAGTCTAAGGCATCCCGGAACCTACTCGAAACTCACCCGAGCCCTCAAAACTCCAACCCAAGTATGTACACTACCTCAAATACATCCTACGAACATATTCGTGTGATCAAATCACCAATATAACATCATGAACATCGAATTAAGCCTCGAGATCAATGAGACTTCTAAAAATTCCTATTAAACATCAATTTCCCATTTAGGGTCCGGATCCCGTCAAACAACGTC